AATAGTAAAGAGTGATAACATTTCACACAATAGTAGAGATCGATAGCAGTTCACACAATAGTTGAAAGTGATGACAACTCACACATAGTGGAGAGTGATTGCAGTTCACACAATAGTGGGGAGAGATAGCAGTTCACACAATAGTGGAGGGTGATAGCAGTTCATATAATAGTGCGGAGACATAGCAGCTCGCAAATAGTAAAGAGTGATAACATTTCACACAATAGTATAGATTGATAGCAGTTCACACAATAGTGGGGAGAGATAGCAGTTCACAGAATATTGAAGAAAAATAGCAGTTCACACAATGGTGGAGAGTGATAGTAGTTCACACAATAGTGGAGAGTGATAGAAGTTCACACAGTAGTGGGGAGAGATAGCAGTTCACACAATAGCGTAGAGTGATAGAAGTTCACACAGTAGTGGGGAGAGATAGCAGTTCATACAATAGTGGAGAGTGGTAGCAGCTAACACAATATTGAAGAAATATAGCAGCTCACACAATAGTGGAGAGTGGTAGCAGCTAACATAATAGTGAAGAAATATAGCAGCTCACACAATAATGGAGAGTGATAGCAGTTCATATTATAGTGGGGAGAGATAGCAGTTCACGCAGTGGAGAGTAATAGCTGTTCACACAATAGTGAGGAGAGATAGCAGCTCACACAATAGTGGAGATTGATAGCAGTTCACACAATAGTGAGGAGAGATAGCAGCTCACACAATAGTGGAGATTGATAGCAGTTCACACAGTGGAGAGTGATAGCAGTTCACACAATAGTGGGGAGAGATAGCAGCTCACACATTGTGGAGAGTGATAACAGTTCACACAATATGGGGAGAGATAGCAGCTCACACACAGTGGGGAGTGGTAGCAGCTAACACAATAGTGAAGAAATATGGCAGTTCACACAATAGTGGAGAGTGATAGCAGTTCACACACACTGGAGAGTGATAGCAGTTCACACATAGTGGAGAGTGATATCAGCTCACACACAGTGGAGCGAAATGGCAGCTCACACATAGTAGAGAGTGATAGCAACTCACACACAGTGGAGCGAAATGGCAGCTCACACACATAGTGGAGAGAGATAGCAGCTCACACACATAGTGGAGAGTGATAACAGCTAACCTATTCGAGATCCTACACTTTCTGAACACAGGCTATAGGTTTAGTTTTATCATATTTGCTTTTGTTTTAAATTATTATATGCTAAGGTTGGCTTTGATTGATGATAGCTAATCTTGGCAAAATATGGTGAAGTTATAAAGGGAATATAACAAACACCCCAGTACTTTGAAAGTATAAACAGCAAAGTCAAGAAAAGAAACTACAGTCTTTCACCTGAATCCTTCACCGAAAGAAAAGCGAAAACAGGTTATGTTCAACCAGCTAGGTAACTCGATTCTATTTAAAAAAGAATTAAAAACATTACAGTAAGGTGTTGAAAGAAATGTGGTAGCCGAAAAACATTCCACTGATTAGTTAGAATCACTCAAATGTTTTCCTGCGAGAAAAAAAATCGAGTAAAATAAATCAAGACACATTAATTAATGATTAAAGCAACAATTAAGAAAAACAGTTTTAGCAGCGTGTGTTGTACATTAGAAAGGTTATTTGAAGTCTTCTTAC